CTCCTATATCTGTTTAAAATGCACTTTTGAAGCCCCCTTTTGTGCGCTATTTTTGCCCCGAAATTAACATAAAACTAATTTATTATGCAATTTATGAAAATGTATAATAAATAAAATTATAAGCGCTCACAAAAATTTACACTTAAAACTAACACACACACACATGTCTAAAATATATTTTTGCTAGTTACTGTCCATACATTTATGATTAAATAAATAAATTGATTATTAATTAGCGATTCCTTAATAGTCTGAACGCAAACACACGACTCGTACACTAAATTATATACAGAATTCACACGAAAACTCTGCCATTCATGACTGAAATAATAATAACATATTTATGATCACATTATTTTCAATCCCTTGTAATCAACGTTAAAATTAATTATAATTTCGACTATAAATCGCTAGATATTTCCAGTCCAGTGTAATATAGTATAAAAATAAGATTCAATCAACATATGGGCCATTGATGACTACTTTTATAATATCAAAGTTTATTCATATTTTTTATTTACAGTTTCACATACAGTATATATTTTACGAAAATAATTTTAATAAATTGTTAATAAACTAAATCTTAACATAACTTCTTTTAATCAAGTTAAATTAATACTTTTTAAATTAAATTTTAATTGAATAACTCTTTAAATCTAATATTGTCCAAATGAATTACGTTAAAAAATTAGAAATAATTTTTTTAAATATAATAAAATACAATAAAATCTATTTTTAATTAGTGTTATAATAATTGAACACAAAATATAAGGAAAAATTTTGTTGCAAATATTAAAGCTCTCTCTCTCTCTCTCTCTCTCTCTCTCTCTCCCCTAAACAGGAAGTATATACCGACTGAAGGGATCGATACTTTGCATATCGTTTCTGGACTTCACGGGCGCTTTAGTCTCCCTAAACCCGGACGTCTGGAGGGACGGCGACAGCCGGAAGGGAACGGGAGGCAACACAACGCCGAGCTCTACCTCATCGGCGCCCGACTCGAAACGGGGCGGCTCGCTGACCATCACTCGGACGGGCAGTGGGGGCGCCCAGGGGTTGCCGAGCGGTCGCAACAACAAGATATCGCCCACGTCTTCCTCGACCGACATGAGAGACCCGCAGTTCGTCGTAATGGTTAGCGAAAAGCAGATCCGTTTGGTGACACTCCCGACCCAACAGTGCGCTTATAAGGCGACCCTCACGGAGACCTCGTTCGCCGTCCGGGCAGATGTGGTGCACATGAAGAGCGCAGGTATGCTATGATTGCCGCACACACTGTATGTCTGGTATCTCCCTGTCCTCCTGTCAGTACACTCTTATGATTAGTATTTGTTGAGTGTATTCATAGCTCGCAAGCGATTGGCGGACTAATTGAGTGCTAAAATTCTGGTCACAAATAGGGAGCGATTTTTTGTGTGCAAACACTTTATTTGAATGCAATTTATTAGCATTTCTTTGTGTTCAGTGAAAAAGAGTTGAGAAATAAATATAAATGAAAAGGAAATTTTAGATAATAGTCGTCTCGACAGACACAATAGACTAGTCTTTATGTTTGCACATCACTTGAGACCCATTCCCATCTCGCAGACACCTTTCCCTTTATTGTATAAGATATGTGTTTTAGTTGTGTAGAAAATCCGGCTGTCGCCGTCCCTCCAGACGTCCGGGTTTAGGGAGACTAAAGCGCCCGTGAAGTCCAGAAACGATATGCAAAGTATCGATCCCTTCAGTCGGTATATACTTCCTGTTTAGGGGAGAGAGAGAGAGAGAGAGAGCTTTAATATTTGCAACAAAATTTTTCCTTATATTTTGTGTTCAATTATTATAACACTAATAAAAAATAGATTTTATTGTATTTTATTATATTTAAAAAAATTATTTCTAATTTTTTAACGTAATTCATTTTGACAATATTAGATTTAAAGAGTTATTCAATTAAAATTTAATTTAGAAAGTATTAATTCAACTTGATTAAAATTTAGATTTAGTTTATTAACAATTTATTAAAATTATTATCGTAAAATATATACTGTATGTGAAACAGTAAATAAAAAATATGAATAAATTTTGCTATTATAAAAATAGTCATCATTGAAATAGTGGTTGATATCCAATATGACAAATGACTATTATTTTTTATACTGTATTACAATGGACTGGAAATATCTAGCGATTTATAGTCGAAATTATAATTAATTTTAACGATGATTACAATGGATTGCAAATATGATCATAAATATGTTATTATTATTTCAGTCATGAATGGCAGAGATTTTTCGTGTGAATTCTGTATATAATTTAGTGTACGAGTGGTGTGTTTGCGTTCAGACTATTAAGGAATCGCTAATTAATAATCAATTTATTTATTTAATCATAAATGTATGGACAGTAACTAGCAAAAATATATTTTAGACATGTGTGTGTTAGTTTTAAGTGTAAATTTTTGTCAGCGCTTATAATTTTATTTATTATACATTTTCATAAATTGCATAATAAATTAGTTTTATGTTAATTTCGGGGCAAAAATAGCGCACAAAAGGGGGCTTCAAAAGTGCATTTTAAACAGATATAGGAGAAGCGCTTATAATTTTATTTATTATACATTTTCATAAATTGCATAATAAATTAGTTTTATGTTAATTTCGGGGCAAAAATAGCGCACAAAAGGGGGCTTCAAAAGTGCATTTTAAACAGATATAGGAGTTTGCGATTAGACATTGTCTGCACTTTTCAGATAACATGTAATTAAGTATTTTAATTGAATTTCTCATTGAATTTCTCGCCAGAGATACGACTGGAAAGTCATATAAAAGGCTCAAAAGTTTGCGCAAAAAAATATATCTAAATATTGTTCATAAAATATATTAATATATTTTGTTAGGACTTACCGCTCGGGGAGGCGATAACCGTTTGCAGACATAGTATGCGATTATCGGTGCTGTCAGGCAATGTCAATGATATCACTAATATGGAGCCCAGACTCGTTCCCACCCATAGACACGGGCTGGTAGTTTGATCTAGTACATACATTTACATGCGAATAGCGCATAGGGAAATTAATTTAGATCACAAGTACAGCGTATATGTCAATACTGGCGCTAATAAGTGGCTGTCCATTTGGGATGTGACAGTTGTCTCAGCTGTTAATTAGCTGTCAATCCTTGTAAACAAATGGTGCGATATTTACCTGATTTCGTGCAATAAGTCTCCGCGAAAGCGATGTATAGCACGGACTCAATGGTGATGTTCTCGAGACTGGATATACTCGAGCTCCGGGAGCGTGAGAAAGAGCTGTCGATTTTATCTGTTTGGACGGCATATATAGGCATGAGAATCGACGCATACCCTGATAATTGTCTTTTATAGCCAACAAAATGCGGACAAACACTACACCAAACTCTTAGGGTTCACAACACACTCGTAGCAAAAACTTTTAGATATAAGTGATATGTAATTACAGCAAAAACAAACACCAATACTATGCAAGTAAATGAAGCTAGTGACTTTTAGTATACGACAAACATAACGGTACATGAAAACGGTATTAAATGATTTAATAATAGGAAATATAATCTAAATATAATAATAACTCAATCGTAAAATGTATGGCGAAAATAAATATCAGGATAATATTAGGATAGGAGTCTCGGGCGAGCGATAAAAGGATTTGTTTTGATTCAATTCGCGGACAATATTATGAAATAAAATAAAGAGATAAAAGGCTTTAAAGACAATCAGATTTATAAATGCCTTTAATATAATTTATGAAGACCTCATCCCTAACACTTAAATCATGCGAAAGTTTCCCTAATACTTACGTAAATCCCTGTATTTATTGTATAAGAAAAATTTTCAATCTTTTCAATTATTTATAAGTAATATTTTATGTGTACGTGTGATTAGACTATGATTTCAAATAAATAAGTTATATGTCAATAGTGATAATTGGTATATATGTCATTAATTGATAAAATTGTTTAAGTATAGGGATGACGTCTACATAATAATAATAATAATTATAAATAGCGTTTAGAAAATAGATTTAATACATGGATAATAATTAATATTTACGGTTCAATGGGGGGTTTCATATGTACAGACAACGGACAACAGCAACAATTTGGGACACAAATGGAGATATCACAACAAATTCATGACATAATTATAGTTATAATTAAGTATTAGTTAAGAAAAATAGGATATATTTATAAGAATTAGTATACAGTATCAGTAAACAAGCATTCACAAAAGTGCACTGGTTAATATTTAAGGCATTCATGATAATTCAAGGCATGCGTTGAATATATTAAGAAAATGTATATAAAGTATTTGAAAACAAATGGACAGATTTTAAGAGATAAGTAGTGCAACGATACCAGGACTGAGTGGCTCACCAGTGTGGTTTTTTAAACATATTAGGTTTATAGTGTGAGATTATTGTGCGAGATACATTACCAACAGATTGTGTGTTTTCTATGGCTTTTTTGATTGTGTGAAATACACGGTTTGTATGGATTCAGTGGATATCTACCGCTAATTGTCATCAGGTTTTGTGGTTTAGTTTCATGGTATATGAGAGCTAACGGTGTGGTTGACTACCGGTACAACTATTACGACAACTACTCACAACAAACAGTTTGCTACTAAAAAGCACATGGATTTAGTCCTATCAACTAAAGTAGCCTAGATCATATATTATGGTAACACTAATGGATACTAAGTGCGGACACAGTATATATATATAAATTACATTAGATAATAGCCTATTAATAACTACTATACATATACTACTCGTGTGATAACTACAGAATATTCCGCAGTGAGGGTACAACACATGCCTTACAACTCGCGCTACTAATCATCATAAATATATATAAGTTATATACGGGGGAGAGAAATAAGTTAACTTGGTAATTTGTTCATTTAGACATTGATACAATAATATGTATATATAGTGAGAGCCACCTGATCCTGTGCTGACACCGAGATTGTACGAGAATAGCGTAGGCATCTCGTCGTAGGAGGCCATACTCTGAATGGTATGCATTTTTTGCAACTTATTTCTGGTACCTTGTGAGCGAGATCGTTTCATTTCGGGCGTAATCTGCTTTTTGGCCACAGCGCCGGTAGCTATGCTCGTGTTTCCCGGGGCGCCGCCACCGCCGGGCGCACCGGCACTCTGTTGCTGTTGTTTACCTGTCGTCGGGCTCAAACACATACCGTTTATCTAGGTAGGTTGTGTTTTGGGGGCACATGTATGTGTTGTGGGGTTTTTAGGTATAGTTATTAATATTAAGAGTTTTTTTTATTAGTTTTGTTTCAATTGATGATGAATTTGATGAGTGTTTGAGTGGTTTTGGATAAGCGATGGATAGGGAGAGAGAGAAAGAAAAGGTTATGAAAAATATATGTCATAATTACCGGTCGTATAATTAAAGGCATTTTTAGGACAGTCTTTGGGGTACTGGTGCTGACACGGCTGCGGAGACTGCACAGAGTTTTTCCCGTTTGACTGATTGATTGCGATTTGTTATGCAAAATATATATCGATTTAATTGCGAAAAAATAGTAACAAAAAACAAACTTTGCGTTCAAATCAGAGACTATACGTTGCTTTTGTTGTCAAAACTCCGATGTAAATGAGATATTAATGACAAATAAAAATTTATTTTATACTAGTTTATAGCT